TCGCTCCCGGAGCCTTCGGCGGCGGCGGGGCTGGAGCCCGCACGGAGCGGGGCGAGGCGGAATCGCCGGTTCCAGGCACGGCCGCAGCCGCAGCTGCTCTTGGCTCCTCGTCTTCCCGGAGCTGCCTGAAGGCTGCGCAGCTCCAGCGGGCGGCACGAGTCCAGCCCAGCTTCCAGCCCGCATCCTGGGCATGGAAATGCTCCCGGCTGTAGCACACCCGTCTCTGCCAAATAACGTGGGCTTGGCTTTGTCATCCCTCTTGTCCTGTTGGAAAATGAATCTATGCTTTAGCCTATTGTGGTTTAAATATAGATTTAAAGAAATAAGATTATTTGTAAATACGGACGTAGAATTGGGTCTGACATATTTGGCTGAGTTACACGACTTTGAAGTCAAGAGTGTAATAATTTTCTTAATTTTTTTTTAGAGCAACGTTTCATTTCACCTTTTCTGGGATGGAGATTTCTTCTCACCAGTTTCACCTCTTGCAGCAACTAAATGAGCAGCGCAGGCAGGACTTGTTCTGTGACTGCAACATCCTGGTGGAGGGCAAGGTCTTCAAAGCCCATCGCAATGTGCTGTTCGCCAGCAGTGGCTACAGAGCTCGAAGGAGACGAGTCAGTCCACAACAGCCACTTTCCAGGCCTTCTCTCCTGACACCTTTACAGTTATCCTAGATTTTGTGTATTCAGGAAAACTGTCCCTCACTGGTCAGAATGTCATCGAAGTCATGTCAGCTGCCAGCTATCTGCAGATGACCGATGTGATCAGCGTGTGTAAAACCTTCATAAAGTCATCGCTGGACATCAGTGAGAAGGAGAAGGATCGCTACTTCAGCCTGTCAGACAAAGATGTGAGTTCCAACGGTGTGGACCGATCCTGTGTGTACAGTGGAGGGTGGAGGGCAGAGAGCAGCCCCCCACATTCCCACTCGAGCCCAGACCCTGGGACTTGTATGATGGGCGGGAATGCTTGGAGCAATTTCAACTATTACCCCACCTCTCAAAGAAATGCCCAGCAGCAGCTGTCCAAACACGAGCAGCGGCAGGATTCCATCAAGAAATCCCGGCACCTGGGGCTGCAGCAACCTTCTGACATCCCACACTATAAATCAAGCAAGCTGGAGGACAGGGCTGCCGAGCCTGCCGGCCACGCTGCGCCGGCTGAGGAGCAAGTTCACATTGACCCGGAGGTTGAAGCTCCTCACGTGGGCTACCAGTTCAGCCAAGGGGCTGAAGTGATGCCCAGGGGCTTGGCTGTGTCGCAGCAGGAGCACGAGTCACCCCGCTCCTCCAGTAAATCCAAGTCCTCCAAAGCTGAGGAGCAGTACGGGAGCATGCCCTCCATCCTTGGAGTCATGGGGAGCTGGGCTGAAGGTGAGTGGGGTTTGGTGCTGCTCACACAGATACCTGTGAATCCTCTCTTCTGGCCCTGAGAAAATAGGTCTTAATAGTAAAGAACAACTGCCAAAAAAACAGATGTATTGTCCAGAAATGTATGTTTGGAAAATTTAACTAATTATCTTTAAATAATTTTGAGTTCTTGAAGTAGTTGGGGTATTAAATTTAAAAATAAATATAAATTGGGATATTTTTAAGCTCATTTTCATGAAAGCACAGAATGGTTTGGGTTGGAAAGGACCTTAAAGCTCGTTTTGCTCCACTCCCTGCCATAGGCAGGGACACCTCCCACTATCCCAGGTTGCTCCAAGCCCTGTCCAAGCTGGCTTTGTCAGGTCTGTGTTAATACAGCCAGTGGTCCACTCCTCCTTTGTTGCACTCCTGTGTAATCTACAGGAAAACACAAAATCTTTCTGCTTGAAACAACCAGTGAACACTGTTTTAATAAAAGTGACATGCTATTCTTCTCATAAAACACCTTTTCCTAGAGCATTAAGTGACATATCTTTGATTTTTATATATATATTTTTTTTTTAACCCCATTATTTTCTGACAGATGACCTAGCCAGGATGAGGTTCAAGTGTCCATTCTGTAGCCACGTGGTGAAGAGAAAAGCTGACCTCAAGCGTCACCTTCGCTGTCACACAGGGGAGCGGCCGTACCCCTGCGAGGCGTGTGGGAAGAGATTCAGCAGGCTGGATCACCTCAGCAGCCATTTTCGAACTGTGAGTATTTTTAGCAACTGCATGATTTATTTAATGTGTAAATCTGGCTAATTAAACACAGTGTGAGCGTATCTGGTTGATCTAATGACTTCTGTAAAAGAAGAGGGGGAATAGAAAATTAATTTGGTTTGGCTGCAGTTGAATTGAAGGATAATTTGCAAGAAAGGGGAGGAATTTGTTGGGTAATTGATGGCTTGCAGAGGTTCTGCTCTCTGCAGCCTGGGAGAGCTCCAGTGGGCAATTACCATGCCTGGGCTGGTGCAGTTCAGTGTTTGATGTCTCTCAAATTGAGGTAATACTGCAATTTTACTTTTTGTCATCTCCCAAAAACCTCCTTTGTGGATGCTTTACAAATCCATCCCTTGTGATTTTCCCAGATCCACCAAGCGTGCAAACCCATCTGCAGGAAGTGCAAGCGCCACGTGACCGAGCTGACGGGACAGGTGGTCCAGGAGGGGACCCGGCGTTACAGACTGTGCAACGAGTGCCTGGCTGAGGCTGGCATTGACAGTATCCGCATTGACTTGGAGGCTGAGGCGCCTCTGGAATTCCCACAGGATGGGGACAAGGATTCCAGGTGGCACTACGGGGAGGACAACAGGTCTGACGTGGAGATCGTGGAGGATGGCTCAACCGACTTGGTCATCCAGCAAGTCGATGACAGTGAGGATGAAGCAGAGGAGAAGGAAGTGAAACCAAATATTAGGTAGTTGGAAGACAAGGATTGGGAATTCCATGGAAGAGGGAGAATCTACTGTGACCTGATGTCCTCTGCCAGCTGATCCTACAAAGACACATGGTTGAACAGGTCCAGACTTGCATGTATTTATGGACACGTCATTGAGGCCATGCTGGTTTGTTAGCAGAACACCCATGCGTTGTTTTGTTAAAAAGAATCCATCCTGAAATTATGGATAAACAAGGAAACTGCAATATTACATGGATAATTTTTATAGCAGGCAATGGGGCACGTCTCAAAGCCTCAAAGAGAGGGAGTGAGCTCTAAATACTTTTCAAAAGTTGCAGGTTATTGTAAATTTCCCATTTTATATGCTTGTAAAGAGGTGTGGTTTATATCATTGGGCTATAAATGAATTATAAAGACCCCCCCACACCAGACAACCTCTCTTGAGTGTTCAGAAGTGAAGAGAATCTTCCATGAAATTTCACAAAATCTTCATGTTATGATAAGAAAAAAGGCAGCTAATTAAGAAAGAGCATTTAAAATGTTTTGGCACTTTTGTCTGGAAAAGGACTTCTGTAAAATTTATTAGGACGAGGTGAATCTTTAATAGATCATATGCTCAAGACCTATTTCTTTAAAAGAAAGTAAGCACATCAATGCTTAACACATCAGAGACAAACTGATTAAAAATTTGGATCATTAATTGATGCCATTGGATGCTTTAGTCTCAAAATTAGGATCTCAGACTGGGCTGTTTTAATAAGCACTATTAAAAATACTCTTTTTTTTGTATTTTGAAACCTCTCAAAAGTGCCCAGACATGGTGGGATTGTTGGCATGCAGGGCCAGGAGTTGGATTTAGATGATCTTTGTGGGTCACTCCAGCTCAGGATATCGAATTCTGTGCACCTTTTCCAGTCTGTACCAGTGAGACCAAGATGTACTGGAAGTTCCAGACACTATATTTGTGTCATTTCACCCACAATTAGGCTACAGAGATGAATAACGATGAAGGAATTTTACTTCTCTAACAAAAGAAGTTATTTGTTTTTGTTGCTTAGTGAGTTTCTCTTACCCAGCACTGTCAGGAGAGGAGCAGGAGATGCTCCTGGGGCTCTGCATTCCTCGGACAGACCTGAGTGTTATTCCAGTTCTTGGGATCATGGAACTCAATGGCTGTAGACTTAGAAAATGATATATTTTTTTCTTTTTTACAGCTTTGTAAGCATGTTTGGCTGAACCCTGGGGTTTCTTAGACAACAAGCCCATATAAATATATATATATATACTATATAACCTTTCCCAGGGACAGCTAAAAAGTCACTATGTTATTTTTAGTTGTGTAAAAACTGTATAACTTTCTTGTATCATCATGACCAGAGAGTGCAGCATTTTTATTCCAGGCTACAGGTGACCAACAAATGACAACTTGAGAACTTCATGCTAAATTCAGTGTAAGCATTAAGCACCCTCCTCTCCATGGGAAGCATCCCAAGGACACAAGAAATGGTGTTTTATTGTTCCTACAAAAATTATAATTTATTGGCTTAGGTTTGGGGAGGGGGTGACTTAAAAATCTTTGTGATGACCCAGATGAAAATGTCTTAAATAAGACTTATACTCTATTTTATGGGACACTTGGTCAGCAGCCCAAAACTGGACTTGATGTGAAAACAGACATTTAATTTCCTGGAGCTTTTAAACTCCTAAAATGCCTGTTATGAAATGGCTAAGAAATATTCCTGAGCAACCTGGACTAAATCAAATACACAGAACAAGAAATATTTCAAAGAATATGGAGTAACTTTGCTCAAATTTCATAGATGTTTCCCTTTCCCTTTCCATTAAACAGTTTGACAACAAATCCCAGGTATCAGTGCCTGCTGTTCCAGGATAAAAAATGGCTGGAATTGGTTTGTGTGTGTTTGGGGATGGATAAAGGGGAGGGGAAAATAAAGTGTTCTCTCCAGGCCTGAAATCTTAACTGCCAACTGCAAAGGTCAGACTATTAAGTGTTTCTTAATAGTGGGGGTGTTTTTAGGATTTTTGGATCAATACTCAATTTAATTAGAGATCATAAATCTTAACAATACTGAGGACCAGATGCTTCAGAACAAGATCTGAAGTGGCTCTAAATGGGCAGATGGAACAATCTATCCACAGGAAGACTTTTTAAACACAGGCAGATGAATTGTTGATTTGCAGGGCAAATGAGGGCTTTTTTTCTGGATTTCTATGTTGTTATTCTCAGTAGCATAACTAGATATTTGTAGTCATTTTTAAAGTATCTTATTAAGCTTGGAGGTTTAGCTCAAGGCTGCGATTCCCACAGGTCAATGATGTTTTTCTGTTTTTTAAAAGTTACCATTTTTACATTTGTTGCCTTAATTTTGGTCGTTGTTTCCTTATTTTTGTATTGCAAGACAAGATAAACGTTAAGTGCCTTCTGTTTTCCATGTCCTTCATTTTACAGTCACGTATTTTCCTTGTTTTTATTTTTTTCTCTAAATGAAAGTATTTGTTTTCTTTTTGTCTCCTTCCATTACCTCTGATTGTCTTCATATTTCTGTGAGGATCACGTGCCCCTCATCAGCACAAGGAACATTTCCTTTCCTTTCAAGGAGGAAAGTAAAGACCACATAGGGATGTTCCCACTAAATTTATTTATTTCCTTGTATTTCTTTCATCTTCGTCTCTTAGGGATACGGTTTAGTGCTGGACTTGATCTTAAAGGTCTTTTCTAAGGAATTCTGTGATTATTTTTACTTGGTTTCTGTTTACTTTGTGTTCATAAACCACAGTCAAGAGTGAAAACAAAGTTCATCATCCTCTGATTAATGTCTCACCTCTTAAATATCCTTATTTCCTGACAATATCTTCCCATCCTTTCAAAGGCTGAAGTACTGAATTAAAAAATTCTCTCTCCCCCTTTTCAGGTGTTTCTTACAGAATTTTCTCTGCCCCAAAAAAACCTATGATTTGTGTGATGCTTGATTGGTTCTTTCACATAATTTCCCTTTTTCTTTTTTTTTTTTTTTGTTTGCCATTAAATTACCTAAACATCCATATTTACTATCCAAAAATGTCACTTGTCCCTATCTTAAATATTAAAGTTGGGCAGCCCCCCTTAAAAAAAGAACAAAAAAACCCCCAAAAACTGACTTCAGAATTAATCTCCCTTTCCAACCTTTTGTAATTTGGATTATATTCCAGTTCTAAAGAACTGACATAATAAAAAAAAAGCAAAAATACTGATTTAGGGTGGCTTTGAAAATACCTGAAAGCCCACAGGACTCTGAGAGGGCTGACTCTGACTGCTACAAGTACCTTTCCCTTAATCCTGACTCTGCAGAATGTTCCATCCTCCAGGATTTTGGGATACATCTCAGGTTTTTAATGATAACTAAAAGGGAATAAATGACAAAACCCTCTGTTGGATATAAAATGATGGAATATACATTTCTTCCCTGAAGCATCTGGTCACTGTCAGACTTATCCCATTACAAAGCCATGCCAATGTCTACCTTACTTATATTTTAATTACTGTTGGAGACAAGTACAAAAATGAAACAGAAGAAAAAAATCTCCAATTTTGCCCAAAAGACTGAATTTTGAAGAAAAGGATGTCCTAATCCTCCAGCCCTTGCCTGCAGAATTTTTTCATTAGGTACAAATCTGTGCCAACACTGTCTGTTGAGTGATGGGTAGAAGTTGGTAAGCTACTAAGAAAAGCTTATAATAGCATTTAGTTAAATATTTTCTATACTGTTTAACTTAAAACCTTTCTACATTGGAGGTGTAACCTTTCAGCCTATTTAACTCGTGAAATGCAAAGAGGAGGCTTATTCTGTGCATCAAGAATTTTAAACAGAGCAAGAACACAGAACAAGAGATTTTGTGAGTAAAATTGGGAGGAGTGGCTGGAAAGAGCCTTCCCTATCTTGGCTTAGCTGCTGGAATAAATTAAATATTGAAGGTCTCACCGACGCTTGACTGTGAAAATGGGAACTGTTCTTTGCCAGGTTCCTGCTCTGAGGACTGGACTGTACCAATCACTGCAGAGCTTCCTTCTCAAAATTATTCTCTGATCTCGAGGAATAAGACTGAAAGAATCTCATCCAACAGGCACGAATTTGGAAGTGCCTTGTCTTCTATCAGGCACCCTGATTCCATTTTCCACCCAGAAGGGAAAACAGGACAATCTGTGTATTGCACTCCTACGTGCCGCGTTTCTCTTTGGGATTATCCTCATTGTTTAAATACAAAAAAAATCCCGTTATAAAAAATGCTGCGATATCGAGTTAATATTAATCCTACACCGCGGACCTCCGGATCTCTGTCGTTCACCGTCCAGGTGAAGCCTTCCCTCCACACACACAAAGGTAGCGGCAACAAAGCCTTGTGTGAGCAGGGCAGCGGCCCCGGGCCAGCATGTGGGTGAGGCGAGCGGCGAGCGGCGGCGGCCGCGGGGCGCTCGGGCCGAGGCAGGCGCTGGGCTGCGGCTGCAATCGGTGCGTTGCCCCTTTAATTGTGTCCCCAGCCCTCGGGCGTCTCTGTCCAACGCCCACGTCAGCAAATACCTTTTGTTTCTCTCCCGTTCGGGCTTGCAGGGCTCGGGGCTGCGGGAGCAGCGGCGCGGCGCCTCCAGGCACGGCGAGCCCCGAGGTGGGGCCGGGATCCCGCAGCCACCGCCCGCAGCACTCCGCCGGTGAG